TTCCCTTTTTCAGATGTGTCTTAGATGATTATCACCACTATCAGTAGACTCACATGGATGAGGCTGAGATTGCTAACAAGAGAATATCACTTTAAAACTTTCTGGCGTTTAAGCCAAGATTTCATGGGATCCTCTTAAAAAGTGCATAAATCATTATACACTATGATTACAAGCTTGTATTTAGTATTTCGTTACACAGCTTGTTGACAGTCTGGAATAGTGTTGTTCCTAGCAGCAAATTAGAATGCTTTGTAGTATCACTCCTACCTGACTTTCAACTTGGCACCTTCATATTCTATTATTTTTATATGCATCATAGTTTATCTTAATTATGTGAAATAACCTACAAAAAATCCGTTATTGTTAAGCAACTCTGGTGTGTGTGTGTGTGTGTGTGTGTGTGTGTGTGTGTGAGTGTGAGTATATAATACAGATAGTTCATTGGCTTCTTTGTTTATTGAAACTGTGGTGGAAAGATCATTAAAATGACAATAGTCTCCTTGCCATTAATTACTACTTATATTGTTTCCTTGTTAATGGGTGCTTCTTACTATGTCCTTTGTTCTCCATCAAAATTAATTCTCTTAAGATGTTGTATGCAAATTTATGGAAAAAAAGAGAATTAAACATTTAGTAATAGTAGTATTGAAAGGAGACTTTTGCCCACCGGTCAGTCCTCACACAAAGCACAATTTTCTTGATCGAATTTTTATTTTATATTCACACGTATATAGAATAGTAAATATGTGCATATTATGTATTCAGCTATTTAGAACCATAGTGTCAAGTGTGTTTGGAGAAGCCTGAGGTAAATGAACTGGATGTTATATGGAGGGTTAGGAATCAGAAGGATGAGTTTGTGGTGATAAAATAGCAACATTACTGATGGAACTATGGGAGAGTGAACAGGGAAAGAGGATGACTGTGTTTTATGAAGATCACTCTGGCAGATGCAGAAAGGATGATCAGAGGAAAGGAAGAATTTAGTTGTAGGGAGTTACTGTCTTGGCAAGACATGATAATGGCCTCACCTAAAGGAAATGGAGAGTTAGGGAGGTAGATTTCAATGACATTTATAGGACTTTGTGACTGTTTGGAGAATGTGGGAGGTTAGAGGCAAGGATAACTCCTAAGTTTCTGTCTAGGGCAAACGGGTGGATGGTAGTATCCAGACCCAGAAGAGAGGAGGTAAAACATGTTGGACCAGCATTTCCAAGCATGGTGAAATCTTGCTTAATTTATCTCTATCCACTGTTGCTGTATAGTATGTACTCTACCCAACCCCCAACCCTCACCCCTGCCTTTCTTTGCTTACCTAGCTATCTTGTTTCCCTAGGACTCAGTATTTAGCAGCTGTAAGGATTAGAATCACACTAGGAATTCTTGGCTACAATCAACCAACAATGTGTGATAAATAAGGGCTGTATTTTATGCAGACACGTTTCTCAGGTGATAAGAGTTGCCTTCAGGAATAGTTCTTCTCTTGATAAGGAGACTTTTAACAATGGAAATTTTCTATATAAATGTAAATTTCCTTTACAAAAGGATGAATGTATACTTTTATGTTTAGACAGTTAGGGGAGGTTAAAGAGCTTTTCCTGTGTCTGTTCCTTCTTTTTAGCTCAAAACTATCCATATGCCAAAGAGGCATATTTGGGGGTAGCATATTCTTGTACCCTGTGAGCATATCTACCTAATTCTTGGAACTGTAATCTTGAAGATCCATCCTGGTTGCTGAGATTGGAATTTCCTTCCAATAATGGTTTGCAGGATTACAGTTTTGAGAGTTCTAATCCTTTTCTCTCTAGCCTTTTCTCTCCGTGGATATCTATGCGTTTGACCAATGTGTTTGTCCTGCTTGTGTTATACTTTTTATTGAGAAAATAAGTACCAAGTATATGTAATTATTTTATGTATTGTGACATTTTACCTACCCGCACACAATTCCGTATCATACAATGCCAACATTCATAGCTTTGAATAACTACTTCATAAATTTTTTCAAATTTTCGCAAATATCTTCCCGTGAAAATCAGAACTAAATAATGACTTCAATAACTAGCTACCCACAATGAATTTAAACTGCAACATTGTTTTTTTTTCTTATGTATAGTTCTTGATAGAATCCTCAAAATTAGTGATAAAGAATAATATCCTCCTTTGCCCACTCTCTCCCTGGAGTAATTTAGAAATACACTGTTGGAAACACAAATAGGTGATGTGGTTGGAAGTATTGTTTCTTCTTGTCGTCTAAGTTGTCTAAAAAATGTGCTCTACAGCAAACTGTCAGAATGCATATAGAGGACATACTCACTCTCATAGTCTTCCTTTCCAATATTCTGAAAGTCTTGATAATTTTAATAATTATATTAGTGTTCTTTTCACCATTCAGTGAAACTATTCTAATACCACCCATGATGTTTTTATAGTCAATTTACAATGTTGCACTAGTTTTTAGTGTGCAGCATAGTGATCCAGTTATACATGATTTGTATTCCTTTTCACATACTTTTTCCCTATAGGTTATTACACAATATTGAATATAGTTACTTGTGCTATACAGTAAGACCTTTTATCTATTTTACATATAGTAGTTTGTATCTGCATCTCTCAAACTCCCAATTTATCCCTCCCTACAGCCTTTCTCCTTGGTAACCGTAAGTTTGTTTTCTGTGTCTGTGAGTCTGCTTTATATGCAATCTAAAAAGATGACACAGATGAACTTATTTACAAAAGATGCCGTTTGTTTTTGGTGCGTGTGAGTGTGTATTTTAAACTATTGCATTCACTTTTTTCTCTTTCACTTCTTTTATCTTTGATTTTTTTTTTTTTGGAAATTCTCATAAGTGTGCTCTTCTCTTTTATCCTTCTAGCTCTTATTTGCTCTTTCAGATCAACCTACCTGTTTACCCTTCCCACCTCTCTTCATGTTTGAACTTTAATTTGCCATTTTTTCCTCCTTGAATGTCTTTCATCATCTTCTTTGGTAATCCATGTCCTTTTCTTTGAGATCCTTTAATTCACCCTTTCTGATGGTGGTAATTTATCCATCTTTACAATATTTGTTGAAGGCATAGTACAGGGTAGAACCTGTGCTAGGTGCCAGGGACGTAGTGATGGACACGTAAGGAGTCTCTGACAGAACACCTTGCAAGGACAGAAATAATTCAGCAGTACATGCAGCACAATGTGATAAGAGCCGTAGTGAAAGGAGGAGGTCCAAGTTGTCAAGGGGCACCTGGAAGCACATAGAAGAGACCCCAACTACGGTTGGATTGAAGAATTCCTGCATATGACTTAGTCCAGCAAAGGGGAAGTGATGAAGGCAGAAGTTTTCCAGGCATACAAGACCCAAAGGAGAGAGAGAGGTGGGGAAAGAGAGAGAGTGTGTGTACAGGGCCCTTTATTAGTACTGAAACTGTTTCAGTATAAATGAATGTATATATATGTTACTTTCTGTGCAACCACAAAAACTTTTTGAGGTTTCTGTTTATCTTTATGATTTTCCTCTGCTCAGAAATAGAGGACTTCTCTATTCCACTTTCATAATAAATTCCCACATGCCATAATTCAGCTTGGAGATAACTGGTGATTTATACCTGTTAGTGACTAATTTTAGGTGACTGGGGCAGGTGTGTAAATACATTTACAAGTTTGGCATAATGAGTCAGGATTGATATGTGTGTTTCTCTCTTAAGAGGAAGTCAGAATGTGATGATTATAGTGTTTTATTGGCAAGCATTCAATTTCAGGTTACTTTTGATAAAGTGTGAACATGTATATATGTTACATTATGCAATTTTCCTGGGAAAAGCACTGCACTATTCTGGAACAAACCACAACCTGGATTTTAAATCAGAAGTTTATGACATTATAATGATAAAATGGGCCTTTAACATAGTGAATGGTCGGCTGATTTTACAGATGAGAAAACTGAGACCCAGAGAGGTGAATGAAAGAGACAACTCTAAATTAAATGCCATGAGGATTTTTGTGTGTGTCGTATTTGTGTTTATTTCTAATACTTTTCAGAATAGCTATTCTACTTGTTTGCCACTTCAGTTGTTTGCATAACTTACATAATCATTTTTTCATCAATAAGCTAGCAAACATGGTGTTTGAGCCTCGGATTTTTTTTAAATTAGTCTGGTCAAAACTAAAAGTTAAAGAATTCTAGAGGAAGGAAGTAGAAATTATTTTTTATTCTAGATGTCCTCTGGGAGATTAAGTCTAAATAAATTGACTTATTTTTGTGCTCTACTTCCTCTCTTGCAAATGAATAAAGATAAATCTCCAGTTTGTTGCCCATCTTTGCTAGGGATTATTTTTTGTGTGAGTCACAGCACTTTAACCCAACACTCACTATGTTTCTATTTAAAAGGCAATGCAAATATCAGTGTCCTTCTTTTACCAAGGAGGACGGAAGGCACTGGAAGACTGGATCCAATCACTTCTTTAAGTGCTCTCAGTTAATTAGTAACAACTGATGTCAGAACATTGTGACATCAGTGCTCTAGTTTTGCATTCTTTCCACCCCCAAGAAGGAGGATAAGAGGAGGGAGGAGGGAGAGAAGGAAGAAGATGATGGAGGAAAAGGAAGAAAAGGAGGGGAGACGGGACAGGGGGCAATGTCTCTTGTGCTTATTATCCGCCATTCATGACGTTTAGCACAGTCGTATATTATTGCTTTCAGTTTTTATAGTAATCTTCTGAAATAGGTATTTTTCCCACTTTTACAGTTCAGGAAACTGAGTCTCAAAGAAGTCATGCTCCTCACTTGTAGTTACTCAGCTAGTACTAGACATACCTCAAAGCTGTCTTTCCCCGTTGCACAAAACTGATTCACATGCTGTTCCTTATCTCCCTGTATTTTTTAATGGATTTTTCAAAATTCACTTTAACTTTTATTTATTTCTATATGAGAAGCAGATTGGAAACACTAACAAGACTCTGGTTCTGCACTATGGTGTGTTGGTAGTACAAACACTCTTTAGGGGATGGGGGTGGAGGAGTGTAGATACGTTTCTGGACTGAAGTGAAAGTAGGGAATTAAAAGTTAACACCAAAACTGAAACAAAGCCACGTTTTGTGAAGCACACACTAATAGTCCATTGGATCAAAGGATGTGATCTCACTTCACAGTAAAACAGGTCCTGCAAGCCCAGGTAACTCAGGAAGCAGAATGGTAATTATTCACAGAAGAAAGCAGGTAGTGTACTGTTACGTTGCTACAGTAGAAAGTCAGAAGGTCACAGAACTTGCAGGGTAACTGACACAACTTGAAACTGCTTGGCCCCCTTTAAAAAGAAATTATAAGATGGGAGAGAATGAAGCAAGTTTACCTAACACAGCTTTGCAAGGTAAGTGCCAACAACCTCTGAAATGTTTGCAGTCAGACATTTAAGCCAAGCCGTGTCGATTACAAAGTGTGTGTATGCGTGTGTGTCTGTGCACTGCGTTTCAAGGTGTGCTTTGCCGGTGGGGAAAAGAGGCAGAGGTGTTGTTGTTTCAGAGGAAGCTGCCTTTCTCTGTTGTGCTCAACAGCTCAACATATGCAGAAACGCGAATTTGGTGGAGGAGGGCAAGTTTTATCACTCCCCAGTGCAGTGCTGGGAACTGCTACGACCAACTTCCAGTGCATTTTCACGTTAAATCTTTCCCAGCTTTGACAGAATATTGATTTTTGTCTCTGCCTGTGAGATTTTTATTTTTAATCAAATTTTGCCATCTCTGGGTCTCCCAGGTAAATGTCCTTGTAATTCATATAACCATTTTCTTAAGATAGAAAACAGGGTCTCAGAGGGCAGCTGATTGGTTGGGGAGAGCAGCTGATTTTACAGGTCTCCCTTAATCAGATACCTTTGTCCTTTGAAAGGACTGGCTTTGTTGACATTGGCCTGACTAGGCTTCTATCATTAGGCTTGTTCATAGAAACAAATAACAAGTTCGCTTACATGTTCCACTTTTTTGAGTGAAGAAATTTCTTTCTTTCTTTTGAAAAAAAGGTAGAAAGTGGATTGAATGCTAATTTGTTGCCATGATCTCTAGTAGTTTACCCTCTTATGAATTATCACTTTTACAAGTTCTCATTTTGATCAAAGTATTTTTTTTAACAAAATCTACTTGATAATGACATTTTAATTTAATTATGTTCTTGTAGCGCTACCAGGAAGAAAATCCCCCAGCCATTCAATTTTCCAGTAAGTGTGCATAACCAAACATGTAACACTACCTATGAAATGTAACACATATGAGAACAACATGATGGTCCTAGACGTGTCTGGTCGTAAAAGTATGTCACCCATTTTCTAGAGTTCAGTTGTCTTCCAGAATACCTGTGCTTTCCCTTCATTTTTCTTTAATCCTTACTCTACTTCAATTGCTTAAGAATCCCAGAATTTTTATTTTTATTTCTGTATGTTTCCTAAAAAATTTTTTTTGAAATACTATGTAAAATGCTATTAAAAACATTTTAAATTTGAAGATTATTTTTAAAAGTTATTTAGTGCATTCTACTGAAGTAAAACAAGATAAAAGACTCATTTAGCACAACTCTAGGAAATAATTTATATGTTGTATGGACAGAATGACATAACATATACCTTAACTGTCTCCGTAATGTTTTTCCTTGGAAAAGCTTATGGGAAGGCTCTGGGTTGTTCAAGTTGTTCAGATGATGCTGAGTTTGTATGAAATGTATACGTCGGAATAACCTATCCTCTGCTGTATGCTACATCACCTGTGTCTGTGTTCAGGGATTGAGATAAATTGAGGAGTAACCAGGCCACCTCTCTCTCCCCTTGTCACCTCTCTTAGTGTCAGGATTATGGATAATATTTGCTACTTATTTTAGAGTCCTAGAATGCATATCAATTTCCTGTTGTTTGGGGTTTTATTTTTTTCCTTTTTTTCTTGCACTTTTCTGTACTTAGGATTCAGATAATATGTTCCACTGTGAAAGGGTTACTTTCCTTCCCTCCTGTCTGTTGATCTGTCCAACTATTTTCAGAATTAATAATGTGCATATATCAGAAAAGCATGCATACGATTTAAAATAAGAGCTATGGTAAATAATTTGAATCTCATGGTTTGAGTTAGAAAACAATGTGCCTCTATCCATAAACCTTCTGTCGTTGGGGAATACTTGTGAGAAGAGTTTATTCCAGGGTATTTTCCTTTGTGCATTCTGTGAAAACTTTTCTGTAAGGAATGTGTTCTCTTTTGATCTTATCTTAGTTGAAATACATCCTTGGTAGGTCTACAAATAGTTCAGATCTATCTTCTTGGAGTGTCAAAATGCTTCTATTCCAGATGTATTTGCCTTACGATTATTAAATGAACCTATTAATCAGTGAGCATTAATGAGAAACAAAGGTGCTTCAGCTGTTGGTTTGAAATCATTTCTGGATTTTTTGTTTAATTATAAAGGATAACACTGTGGGGATAATTTGTTCCTTTATTTGTTTTTTGAAGGTATGAGATTTTATAAGTTTAATAACTTATAAAGTGAATCATGATGTATCTTGGAGTCCTCATTTATGGATTGCTCTAACAGAATTCTATTTTCTAGGCAATAGTCTGTCCTATCTCTGTGCTTGAGTTTAAAAATTACCAAAGTAAATGGAAAAGGCATTTTGAAATGTTGTTTAATTCTGCCTTTGACTTAACATTTATAAAAAAAATTCTGAAGTTCTCTAAATAATACTAATTATTGTCACCTCTGCTTGCAAGGGAGTGTCCTCTAACAGGAATGAGTATATTCATGTGTTTTGTACATTAAACATATGGGTGATTTCAGTGTGTTGGCTATGAGGATAATACGTGACAACAGATTATCATTAGAACTCCATCATGTGCTTTGAATAAGTTTTCTAAGCCCAGGTATCTGAATTGTCCAGATTCATTGGACCATCTCTAGTCACAACTTGGAGGCTAGCCATAGACATTGCCAGAGATTGTTCATTGTATTACTATTTCCTGCAGGTCTCTGACCCATTATTCTACCCAGGGAGCTGGCTGAGTGTGCCCTGGTTAGTGAAACCCCTAAGCTCCCAACATTTAATGTTTCCAGTGGTATTGGGAATCTATCTTTTTCCTAATGAAAGTTAAATCTTTCCAAGGTTATCTTCAGCTTAATGTGAACAGATCTCAAATATCTTTTCCAATGTAAAAGGCAAACTCTCCCTTTCAGTCTCAAGAGTAACTCCACAGACAATCATGTAAAAACTTCATACACGAAGTTTCATAATATTCTTGGGATTCATATAATAGAATTACCTTGAGAAGGAGAGAAGACCAGAAAAATTTTTCTAACTGTTGAAAATATAAATAAAATGTATAAATAATGTGACATAAGGAACAGGGGTGAGTGCCGTCTAAGCGTTGTTATTTGCTGAGGAAAGGAAGCAGCATTTTCTTGCATAGTATCTACAAACACGTGTATCACCGAGTGGCACATTGTCAGTCTGTGACAATAGTGAAAGGCCACGGCTGGGATGACAGGAGGGTGGCAAGTCCCTTCCTGGCAGACAGTTACCTAGAAAATGCCTTAAGCTAAGGTTTCTCCGTAAGCTACCCTTGGGCATGTAAGAGCCCCTTCCCATTCTCTCAGGAAGGACATGCATTTTCTACTTCTCCCAGGGTTCTTATTAGCAGGCAGAGCAGACCCTAGTCAGAATTATTGAAAAAGAAAGAATTTCTCACTATCCAGCTATGTCCCTCATCCCCCGAGTCCCTCCTACTGCATGAACTCAAGCCCACGAGCTTTTCTTTCTCTCCCCTTCCTCCTTGGTCAAAATATGTGCAAGGCCACCTGTCTCTTTGTAAAAGATACGCTAATTTATCCTCAGAATTATTTGAATCAAAGGCATCTCTGAGCCCAGTGCCGGCACAGCCTCGTGAGAGGAGGTGTCTTTGCGTGGGGTCTCCCCTCAGCTGCTTGACACACCCTCTTCACTCAGGCTGCCTACTTACCAGCTGCTCAGATATTTTCAAGCATCTTCTAATTATAAACCTCCTTCCTACCTCAGTTCTTTTTGGTTCTCTAGGTCTACAAATCCCTTACTTTAAAGGATACAAAAGAATAGAATTCAGCAGGAGAGATGTTTCTAAGTATAGAAGGGTTGGCTAGACCCTTTCGAAGGCATGGCCAATTCTAGACAGCAGTCAGCAGAGAGGAGACCTCTTCTCAAACCCACAGAAGGAGAATTTGGCTGTCAGAGCTAGGGAAAAAGAAATCTGTAGAATATTAACATTTTCAGGTAGCGAGGAGCTTAGCAGGCCTTAAGTCCTATATTTTTATTTTGTAGAGTCGCAAACAGAGATCCTTTAAAGAAATGAAAATTGTCTTTGGTTTCTCAGAAGCAGTTGCCAGAAACTAGGTCTCCACCCCAGCTGCCTAAAGACAGTAATTTTATGGAGAAATCTGGCACATAATTTCTAGGGGTATTTACTTTCCTATTTCAGAAAGGGAAATCAGGCTTATAAATGCTTTGCATATTCACATCTTTTAGTTTCTGTAGTTATGACCTGGAAAGCATTGTCCAGTATTCAGTCTATTACAGGACTCGTCTGTCTAGGCTTGGATTTTCTCTTGACTGGATAAAAGTTTCTTTGGCTTTTAAGACATTTACTTAATTTTCATCACAACCAGGAGTTGGCTTGAAATTCCATAGGCACATGCAACAAATCTCATGTATCTCATGATACAGCCATTTATTAGCAGTTATACTTATTCTATTTGGCTAGTATAAGGAAAAAAAAAATCTAAGCAGAAAGGTGCCTTAGTGTCTGTGCTTCTAAGTTGCAGCCCAAGGGCGGCAGTACTGTCTACCCCAACCTGTTATACTGGTTTGGTGTGTATGTTTACTTTCCGTGGTGGAAAAAATATCTCTGCATTCATCATTGTAAAGCATGCCTGTGAGTGACTTGAAATCTTTCTAAAACCTCAAAGAGGGCTCACCAGTGTATGAATCTTCTTTTCCACCCAATAAAAGTTTAATAATATTTTCAATTAAGAGAAATGCAAGGAGCTCTTGTTTAACCCCCTCAGTGTTCCAGGAGGAAGGCTCTCACTAGCTCTTAGTGAGAAGTTGGAACACTTATATCGTTGAGACACTCTGGAAATGAATTTAGATATTGAGGTAACAGGGTATTTTGGAGTTGAAACTTCTAGTAGCTCTGCTGGAGAGGTCTTATAATCTAAGGACAAAATCAAATACATTTGGAGCAAGTAAAATTGCAGAGAATGTCAAGGCATTGTGGGTCTGACCTTAGGCAAAAGTGCATGAGAAGATGGCCTGGGGACTTTTCCCCAGGTACAAGGCAGAGAACCCTCGGAGCAGACAGATGAGGTTAGGAG